GCAGCATTCGTAAGCAACCTTTCTGTTGTTTTATGTAGGCATTTATCAAGCTGACAGATTGTTCAGATGGTACTCGGATGTCATCTCTGGACAGAAGAAACTTTTCATGCTATGATCTTATTAGACATTTGTATGTATTTGCGTGTGCGTATGATTGCTGGAATTTTACTAATCGTAACTTTCTTATTCCAGGCTTCAGGACGCAAAAATGAACTTAAAGCTGTCTTTTGAAGTTGAAGCTCAATTTTGTGAATTGGTAACATGGTTCCATGACTTTAAACAGCGAATAACAGCAAAACTGATCTATAGACGAGCCGAGTTTGCCGAAATACAACACATGCTCCAGGAGGAACAGGTGAGAAATTGCCTAAAAATTGTGATTGTACCTTTCCCTCTAATTTATTGGTTAAAATGATATACTTCTTTGCTTTCTGACGATCATAGTCCGTGTGTGTGCATGTTCCCGACTCATTCTTTTTTTTTGAACTTATCAAAAGACTTAATGTCTGAGCTGTTAGGAAGCTCTCTTACCAAATCGATATCCCATTTTACACATACACGAACACACACACACACATACACAGATACGCAAATATATAGATATGTATTCATACACACACACACACGCACACCATCACTAACAGATGCAGTAGGGTGGAGACCATGTAGCTGGCCCTAAGCCGCCACTCATTTTTCGTGGCAGAACGGGCACCCCTAGACCTCTAACTAGTATATTATTCTTACATGTCACTCGAACTCGGTTCTGCTACTATGTTCGGCTAATATTCCTTTCTCAGAAGTAATAACATCAAATTAAATATAGTGAAAACCTGACTCGGCTCTGCTCCTCTCCACTACAATTGTAAGCTGAGATGGATTCACCTTATATGACGTGCACAACGTGGTTTTTAAATTTATCTTAAACCTTTGCTGCAAAAAGTGCCTTTGAATGGCTAGATCACCGAGAAAAGTTCATGGAATATGAAAAGTATGGCATTCATTGGATATGAGCGAGTTATTGGAAGCGTTAATTGTATTATTATGAAGTTTATAAAATTAAATGGTGTCAAAACTGACGGTCCAGTATGTTCATCAGCATGCACTCAAACCTTATAATGTACCACAAAATTCCTTAATACCATAGTACAATATAGCATGTTATTTTGCAGAATGTTATTCCTAGTGTGTGAATCATATTTTTCTAACTCTTATGGTATGCCGTATTGCAGAAATTTGTTGGAGAGCTCGAGTCTAAGGATCATCTTTTCCGTGCTGTTGGCACCATGCTTTCGAAACTGGCAGCTTCTTTTTCTCGCTTTTCGTTGCCCAGCTGGTCCGAAACGGAGCTGACAACTTTGAATCACTCAACATCCACGTTGAATTTGACGGCGAGAGATGCTCCTATTTCAAACATTCCCCCGAGATCTTCATCTCCCATTGTCAAACTAGTCCGCATCTTGGAGGAGGCTAGTGTTCAGCTGCCACGAGAACGGGACTTACTCGTATCTTGCTTAAAGCGAAGACAGACAAGGTGTGGCCAATATCAAGCATAAGCCTATTTTATATAATAAAATGAAAAAAATCACAATGTTTAGTCTTTTCTGGCATTCGACAGAGAAAGAGTGTTTACGAATGCATTTTTGCACTTATCTCGATTCCTTGGCGCTTTATCTTTAATTTGTGGTATAAGCTAAAAGCCAGGGTTAAATGCCCTTAAAATGCTATCTTTATTTATACGAAAATCAAAACAACAAAATACAAAAATTACGTTAGTGATTTCTTTGTTCACTTTTCATTTTTTAACGTAACTTTTACTCTTTAAAATTTCATTATGTGAGTGCAGACCAACTTTAAAGATGAGTAGCAATCAACTATGCCAGTCACAAAAATTATTTTCTTCGTTTGAATTTGTGAATCTCTCTTTTATCTAAATGGAATGGGTGAATCAGCTCCTGATTTTGGATTTGATCACAGCCAATCTTAAGTCAAGAAATTAAGCTTCTATCTAAATTGGCTTTTTTGTTTACACTTACTATTTGTCTATATTATTGGGAACTAAACTTTTGCATCATCTTATGAGACCACTAGTGGTTTTGTGCTTTGAAGCCTGGCAAGATTCACGCTCCCGTAGACTTATATGCATAGCGTATATGATAAAGTATCATTTCATTTGTCAAGTAATATGATATCGACGTTTAGATCCTAGTCTATTGACATATTTTAATGATATTTTTCAGTCCTTATGCTTAAATCTCAGAGTTATTGTGTGATCGAACACGCAGTCTTTATGTTATTAGAGCTTGCCTGCTTAAAGCTGACTAATCAGATCAGAGTACGTCATTTTTTAATCAAGTTAGTGTCCACTAGCCAGAATACCGATATGAAAACTTGTTCTTAAAGTATCGAAGAAATTAATTACAGGTGTTGACAAATTAAGAGTAAATACGAAGAGTAACTGGGTTTCCATGACTCTCCTGAGATAACACTATTTAAGAGATGTTCAGTTCGTATAAAAGTGCATGAAGCAGTGATTCAAATGTCGCTCTAACCAAAAGAGGACATCTGATTCTTGTTGCACTGCAGCCGTTTGGTTTCAATATGGCGTTCAAGCTGACGCATTTCACGAGATATCCTTAATCGCTTCAGGTAAAACGGGCTAAGCCTTCGTTCATCATATGATGGACATCATCAGAGCTGTAACTCATTGCTGTAAAAGCCTCACGCTAACACTATGTCATAAAGATTAGCCGGCTCTATCTTACCTCTTATATATACTCATAACTAATAACGAAATTGAATAGGTATAAATAGATATAGGATGATTTAGCTAGTTATCTTTCATACTGCTCCTGGTACTTTTGCTCGAGTGTATGTGAGTGGGGGAGGGGGGTGCTAACGTCTATACATACTACCGGTCCTAAATCAGAGTGATCAAACAAGGCTAATGTCAGGCTCTGGACATCAGGGCCTAATGACCCGAGAGAAAGCCCTGACCGAAACTTCATAAGTCCGTAAGCAAGTATGGTTGAGATAATGAGATGTAAGCTTGTAAGTGTGTAAGCCAAGTTACGAAATCACCTGCCATAACCTCTCGGTCTAGGGTAATTAAAGTTTAGCCACCCAAGAAAAGGCATGACTGGGGCTGCTTAATCTCGTACGTCTTATTTAGATGATGAGCTTAATTTTACATGCTGGACGAGTGTGATTGAAGTTAGGACCATCACTGATCAGACAAGTTTAGTCTTCTTTTGGATGGCGGTTCAACACCCTCTGACTCCTTCAATCTATCGATCAAGCATAAGTAGTTCTTACTCAACTTTCTACCACCGTTTCTCGCGTTTAACTTATTCCATAACATATTACTTTCAATGGCCTACCTTATCTTTATTTTAACAGCGGACATACCATAATCAGCAAATCTACTAGTTCGAGATCATTATATCGCATGCTCAGTCTCTACCATGTGTTCAGCCACCTCTAATTGTTGGACCCAGCTTCCTTTACAAGAATTTTTGCATACCCTCAATCTCACCAACATAAAGTCGACCACAAGAACACACAATCTCGTAGCAGCTGGATCTCGATAATAGGTCATATTTCTATTTAAACGATGACACGACAAAATAAAGTGAGGGTTTCTTTGAACACCGATTTTATCCACCACTTTATCTCTCATTTGTCCATCTTCATACAAAGAAGGCATGACGGCAGGATCAGGACATGGGAAAAGGTATCAGTCTGTCTATCTTTGACTAAATTGTCTCCGTCTGACAATGTATTCCTCAGTATAGAGATATTATTCTAAATAAGGCCTTAAGAATAATTATTTTCCAGGAATAAATTTGTCAACCGCTCCAACTCTTTAGTCAAATGGTAGCAATTCACTAGCCTCAGAAACCTAATATTCATTTACTTCAAAATTCCAATCTTTGTTTGTAACTATGGTTTGAAAAAAATTAAGAAAACAGCCAACATCCTTTGGCTTACTGTAAACAGCTCTTCCTAACTTACCCTTTTCTCTAATAATCAGAATATCCAAAAAGGGTAAAGACCTATTCTCTTTCATTTCAATTTTCCCTCTTAGAACAATTGTAAATAATAAAGGAAGCGTGATCCATAAAATCTCACGTTTTTATGTTTATAACTAAGGAACATTGCAGAATTTTGGCCATATCCAGTTAAT